CCCCAAAACCCCAAAACCCCAAAACCCCTTGAGAGTTATTTAGAAAATTTAAATAAATTAATATTTAACTCAATTAAAATACATTAGATATAATCTTTGAATATATCAAAATAAGGTTTTAGGAATTAGAAGACATTTCGTTCAACTCCTATGAGGAGCTTTGTATGAAAGAGAATTCATTTTTGAAGCAGAATATAATTCTTGGCTGTGGTGATCATTAGTTCTAGTCAGTTCAATTAAGCTTGTTACCTTAGGAGTGACTGATGATATCTTTTAGATTGTATTATACACAGGAGTTAGTGAGGCCTGATAATCTAACAGTTTTTAATAATCACCTGTATAGCTAACAGTCTTTGAAATGGAATTGTATGAAGCCTTTGCCAAAATTTATGCATTTTTATAATCACCCATTCTTGCTAGCTTTGAACTCTGCTAGATTGAATTTAATGCCAGAATGTCAACATCAGCCTATGTTTCAACGGCAATTCTGTCAGAACTGATTTCAGCTTAATTTGTGATAATTTTCACATATTGCTTCCCATCTAGTCCTACGTATTCAATGATCAACTAGTAAGGTAATTTCTTTAATTGATCTATACTTATACCCTCTCTCTCAACCAAACTTTTAATTTTTCTAAGTCCAAATTCAAATGTGAATTCTGTATCCTGAACAACATTTCCAATGACCTTAGAGAATGTAGTTTCTCCATTTCTCAAATTATCCCTTTCCTCTCTATTGAATTTAAAGCACTGTAATAAATGCAATCTAATCTTAGCTTTGGTTGCTATAATTGGTTTAGATATAATTTCTTTAAAGTTTGCACTCAAATTGTCTCCACCAACTCTTTCAATGGCACCACCAGTTTAGTCAGCTACTGGCAATAAAGCACCAATTCCACATTCTCCTGTATTGAAGGTCACAATATGAGTAGTAACATCTTTTTGCCTTGCATATTATGCGACTTTATGATAGAAATCCAGAGCTTAATTGTAGTTTCCCAATAGATTTCCAAGTCCTACATTTGAAACACCATCAGTACAAAGTAGTACCTAAGAACCTTTCTTTCCTTAAGAAGCTAATGCAATTGATGCCAAAAGCCCAGGTCCAAGAGCTGTGTTAGCTGTAGGCATCATATTTATTATCTTGTCGATAAGATCATTGTAACTATTTGCTAAGATATTATCCATTAATCCTTGATAAGATTTCTTTGATTGCCTTATAATCATCTTTGAATTATCGATATATTCTTCACTTAACACAACACTTTTAGTGGAATGATTTCCAAGGATTTGAATGTCATCTGAAAAAGTAACTAAGCCAACTTTTCTTTTTGGAAATTTCATTGCCATTTCTTAGATTTGCTCAATGAGAGCAAGTTATATTACTGATATTTTAGCATGTCCGTTTCTATTGCAAATTTCAGCCATACTACCAGAGATATCAATGCAGAAGATAATTGTTATGTCTTCATCTAAATTATTTTTATCTTGAATGCCATTTTTGTTTAGATCATCCAAGCAATAAGTAGTATTCAAATTAGATTAGATTTGAGCACCTGGCTCTGATGTGTTAACTTTAAAACAAAAAGAGCATTTCCAAATTAATCTTTCTTGCTCTTTTGAGATATCACAATATTTGTTCAATACTGCTTTACATTACTCACAATAAATAGGCTTATCGTTCTTCAAATTTCTAATATCTTTAATTGTCTGAAGATTAAGATGGATTATATTGGTATCAACTTTTTCCTTATATTTCTTAGGGTTTCTTTGATTTGATATTTTAACTTTTTCCTAAATAAATTGATGATTTTATTGACTTGATGTGGCAGTTTATAGACTTTAGATTGAATTTTATTTAGGAGAATGTCTGGCAGCAAAAATATTTGATTTAGTATTTTGCTTAGTCAAATCATCTAAATATCCAGAATTCATTTAAGCAATTTAGTTGTATTACTTTAATTCAGACTTTCTAATTTCCTCTAGCTTTTAAAGCTTTTTATCAACGAGTTATTAGTGAGCTGGACTTTGAAGTAACTAGAGTAAAGATTTCCTTGGCATATCTTTAGTTTATAAGGGAGGTAATTGCTTTGCTATTTAGGTAGGGAAGTTTGAAGATTTTTTAGTTTAAGAGAGATTATACTGATTTTACTGTTTAAAACTTTATTTGTTATCAATGTCTCCAACCCTAGATGCTGATTGAGACTTTATCATTGTTTTATTCTTCCCCTTGTTGATTTAGGCAAATTCATGACTCTGTAACTCTTCTTTTAAATCATCTGAATCTATTTCCTCTGCTGAAGTTTCTTTTTCTAACTCTTTAATTTATTCTTCAATGGAAGCGAGCTAGATTCCTAACAACTTCTTACTTAACTCTTAATCTTCAGCATATATCTACTTTTTGAGACTATTACTGGCTTTCTCATTCTTAAATAAAGCAATGCTTCTCTTTGATATATAAGCAAAATTACTCGCAAGTTTCATGATAGGTTTGATTATTAGTTTATATTTTTATAAAACTAATCTACTAAACACTTAAATATGCAAGAAGAAGTTAACTTTTCATCGGGTAAATTCGCATAATAGAACTTCTAAAAACCAATACTTCTGATAAAAATATATTCTCAAATTTCAAATTCCTTTACTTTTTCCTTCACACGGGGTTTTGGGGTTTTGGGGTTTTGGGG